GGGATTGGAGTTATGGTACCAAAGCTCGAGCACCGCGAGGCGCACACTTAACACCAGCGCAGACTTTGGTGTTGCATCCGTGTAAGGCCTGTTTACGGCCGCTTGCTGGGGATAATGGCAAGGCCAACGACTTGCCAGCGACAGACTGAGTGAGAATGGGATGGGGAAGGGAAGTGAGCGATCGGGAGTGGGGGTAGGGAGGTGATGCCTAGCGCGCGAGACGCTCACGTCTTTGAGGCACTGAACTGTGTGCTGTGTTTGAGAGCACACTGTGTAGGCCCTACATGACCTACTAAAGCGTGGTGTGTTGAATAAGCTATTTGGTGGGTAAGCTGACTTCTTCCCCCATTTATGTTCGTTGGCTTCGCCAGGTACCCAGAAAGCATGCATATAAAGCAGAATGGGCCGGGAAAAGTCTATATAAGAGGAATTGTTTAGCGAAGATACTGAAGGAAAAATTTCGTAATTGGAAAATATGTCGACATGCCCAAATGTCGATACATTGGCTGTCGATATAAGTGGATTATACTGTTTATTATTCTGGTCTCATTGGCCGCAGCAAAAACCACAAGTCATTTTGACCTTTAAATTCTTCAAATTCTTCTATTTCGCTGGAGAAATATAGATCAACTCCCTTAAAATTTGCATTTATATGACCTAATTAATATTATGTTGGTAGTGCCGTCAAAACTCTTTAAACTATTTTTTAAAAGTGTCGATGCTTTTCTTTTTAATATTGATAGAAGAAGTACCACCTCCACTGCCACCACTACTACTACTAGTACTGCTGCTGCTGCTACTGTACTGCTGCTATTACTGCTACTTACTGCTACTACTACTACTACTACTTCTACTACTACTAACTACTATTTCTACTACTACTAACTACTACTACTACTACTACTACTACTACTACTACTACTTATGATAGATTGCATTTAATTGTATAATCATCATCATCCAGTGCCAGATCTGCAACAGACATCGACGATCTTGGTTCACCGTTCATTCCTTTGCTCGGACGCTCTAGAAAAGCTACGTTTCCCTGATCTGTCCCTGTTACCCATTTGTTAAGGTTCCCTCAGTATTTTGTTCTGGGCCTACCCCTGCCTCGTTTGCCCTCAAATTTGCCAGTGAAAGCTAGATGTTAAAGACCCTTTTATGTCTATTCATGTGTCCCAAAAACTGCATTTGTCGTTTCCTGGTTGTTTTTACATTGAGCGTCAAACGTGGTGGGCTTCATCAAGCACTTCCTCATTTGATTTCTTTTCCTTCCACGATACTCTTAGCAGTCTCCTAAGAAACCACATTTCTATTGATTCTATTATATTTTCACTGTCCTTAGTGATTGTCCAGCATTTACAGCAATATTATATAGAAGGGTTGACCAAACATAGCATTTCAGGACTTACATTTTGGAGTTCATTGAGATGTTCCTATTTTTCAGGATTGGGCTCATTTTATTGAAACTAGCCTTAGCCATTGTAATTCTCCGTTTTATTTCTATGGAACATTTCGCATCAGATGTTATCATAGTATATCCTATATATTTAAACTGTTGTTTGATCTCTTTGCTAATGAGATAACATCTAGGATTTGCTGCTTTTTTGGATACTACCATGCATTCTGTTTTCTTTACATTCAACATTCCTTTACGTCTGTCCCCGTCGCTTTCAATTCTTCTGTACATAGATCTAAAATGAAAATTCTTGTTGAAAAAAACGCAAAACATGTCGTTAATGGCGTTACAGTAACTTGCATAATTTTTGCATAATTTTGTATTTATTGTCTCGCATAATTTCGCCATCTAAATTTGCATAATTCTGCGGGGACAGTTACGTTCACTTTCTGTTACAACTGTATCTAGAAGCAATTGAAGGTCCTTTTCTGAGCCTGCTATTAAAACTGTGTCATCTGCATACCTGATATAAAACTTTATTCAAACTCCCCGTAGACGCTGCGAGCGGCGCAGCAGAGGACTGGGCCCTCATCTACAAGCCAGGCATCTACGCCTACTGCTACGAGCTGAGACCTGACGAGTACAGCAGCACTGCCTTCCTGCTTCCCGCCTCGCAGATCGTGGACCAGGGAGAGGAGTACTACGACAGCATCGCCGTGCTCGCCCAAGAAATGAGAGTTTGAGTTTGAGTGGTGATGATGATGATGATGATGATGATGATGATGATGATGATGATGATGATGATGATGATGATGATGATGACGATGATGATGATGATGATGATGATGACGATGATGATGATGATGATGATGATGATGATGATGATGATGATGATGATGATGATGATGATGATGTCGTCACTGCGCTTTCTCTGAGTTACAAAGTTCTTTCTGAAGTTGGTTTTTGTTTTTAGTTTGTTTGTTTGTTTGTTTGTTTTTGTTTGGGTTTTTTTTTTTTCTTGGTTTTTTTTTTTTGGGGGGGGGGGGTGTTGTTTTGAGATGCATGTACAAAGACCATAAGATCCGAAACCAAATCTTCTTCTATCTCTGCTCTATGATCTATCATCAATATCGTCAGATTACCTAGGAGACGTTATCAAGACACTCAAAGAATTTCATTCGAAAAAGCTTGACATGTCGCGACCTCAGAATTACATACAGGGTTCTATTTTTTTTTTGGTGTTTAAAGATATGAAGACAATGAGGTCCGAACCAAATCTTCTTTCTGTATATCTGTCTGCTCTATCAGATTTATCTAGAGTCGTTATTTCAAGATATTCAAAGAAATACTTTCGAAAAAGCTTGTCATGTCACTACCTCTGGATTATTATAAAGTTCTATCCGACGTTTTTGGGTCGTTTTGATATACTGAGACTGAGACCATAAGGTCCGAAACATTAATCTTCTTCTTCTAGTTCTATCTGCTCTATCAGGATCGTCAGATTAGTCGGAGTCGTTATATCAAGATATTCGAAGAATTGCATTCGAAAAAGCTTGACAGGTCGCTACCTCTGGATTACAAAATTCTATCTCACGGCTGTTTTGTTTGTTGCTTTTTTTCTTTGTTTTGTTTTGGTCGTTTTGGTATAGCTCTACTAAGACCATACGGTCCGAAATCTTTAATCTTCTTTTAGATCTATCTTCTCGATCAAGATCGTCAGATTATTCGGAGTTGTTATCAAGATATTCAAAGAATTGCATTCGAAAAAGCTTGACATGCGAAACTCACTCAAAACTAGGTACATGTATGTACAGTACTGAGCAACAGACAGAACTTTGTAATTCTAACGTGGCGTGGTGCCGGCAAGACAAGCTGGACTGGACTGGCAGCCGCTGTGTTTATCTTTAGGCCTATATGTATTCAGGCTGAGACGTGACTAGCTTACGATTAGTTAGTCTAATTTAATGTTCGTTGTTTTGTTCTAATAAAGGAAAACGATTGCTTGTGAGTTCGGTGTTTTGTTTATTCGAAGTCATCAAAAGGAAACCGTTACTTGCGCTGTGCATTCCTTTTTAGTTTGTTCAAAGAGGAACAGTTGGCGAAGAATTATTTCTATCCAATACCTCGACTAGAGCTGGGCGAAGAATCAATTCCGGAACCGATTCTCACTATTACTGCTACGCGTAAGAAAAGTTCCGACTTCTTTTTACGTAAGCCAACGGTTACCAGTTACTTTATCAATAAAGTCTTCTGTTTTTGGAAAGAATTTATTGAAAACTAAAAGTTGATGCTTCGTAGTGTTCCGAAATCAAGGTTATCCTAAATCCTGAAGATGTTCGGAGTCAACCAGGTAACCATTAGAAGAAACCACATCCTTAGAAAGAAAGTAATTGGGTTCGGAGTCGATTCCTACGATTCCCAGATTTCAATAATCGGGAACCTAGACCTAGACCTCGACCTCAGAGTGGCGTCGGTAGCCTAGTGGCTAGGCTACCGGACTCGTAATCGTAAGATTGCGGGTCCGGAGATTGGACCTCAGCTCGGTCCGAAGTTGTGTCCTTGGGAAGGACACTTTACACGAATTTCACACTTGGCTGGGTCCTTTCGGGGGGGACGTTAAACTGAGAGGTCCCGCCTCCTAAATAACCTAACAACAGTGTTGATAGGGGCGTTAAACCAATACCATTTCACAATTTCGGTCTTTCTATTGGGACAGCGTTGAATCCCTGTCAACCCAGGTTGGTCGAAGCCCGCCTCCAAGTCTCAAAGATGATTTAAATGATGTCGGTGAGGCTGTAAATTTTCACAAATTAAATATGCAACTGAATACGAATAAATCTAAAAACGGCTGCTTTCATGCTAAAGCCACGGAAAATGGTATTTGTTGTATCGTCATTTAAATTCAAGTAAGAGCAATCTCTTTTGGTGAAATGGCGACTTGCTCTCCAAATTATTAAACCCCCCTTTATAATTTATTATAGCTTTCTTCAAAATTTGACCTACCTATCTACCAACCTACTTCACACCAACCCCCCCCCTCCCCCACCTACATACCCACCAATTAATTATAGCTGTTCATATAGTTATCTACACCTTTGTTCTTATGTCCTACTTTCCTTCATCTGCCGTATACTAACACTAACAGTCTTAATACTTCTTCTTTAATACAGTAGGTGTTTTTAAGCCCTCGTGGACACACTTCAGATAAATTAGGAGGCAGGCTTCGACCTCGCCTGTCAGGGCTGAACCAGTCTGAGGGATACAACGTCCCAGCAGAAAGACCGAGATGGTAGACAAAAATATCAAACTTGGATCCTCTGCCAGCAATAGCAAAGTGCCAAACTGCTACACCACAGACGCCAGTTCATGTAGTCTGCTTCGACTATCAAAGCACCCCGGAAATAGCAGTTCAGAAGAGAGTCACAAACATACAATAGAAGTAAAGGAAAAATGACGACAGTAAGGATGAGGAAAGAAAAAGCAGCAGTTCCCCTGAAGCCCCCAAACACTACAAACTAACAAGATCATTTCCTGTCTGCAAGCTGGTTCCGTAAAAAAAAAAGTACTTTCCCCCAAGGACACAATCCCTGATGGGAATCGAACACGAGTACATCATTCTAAAGTGTATGACGAGGTATCTTACTCAAAGTTTTACTAGATAATGAAACTAAAAAGAAAAAAACCCAACCCAGGCGGTTCCCACCAGTGAAATACTCTTTTATTCATAAAGTGTGAAGACAGAACATCGGAGACGTTCCACACCTCACGACCATCTCCACCATCTCAAGACGCAATCACAAAGACACTGACAATCCAATAAGTCGCATACATTCACAAAAACCCAACTTGCTTTTGCATGCAACATCAACAGGCGAAAGTTCCAAAATAATTTGGGTATATATGTATATATGAAACTTTTAAGTTACCAAAAACAGAACAATTTCACGAAACAAACAAAAAAAAAACCAAAAATGAAAAACAATTCGATTAATATGTCATCAACACGTTCAGCATGTGTGGTAACAGTGACAGAAATTCTCTCTCTCTTCATATAGACCCACAGCACAAAACAAGAACTAGAGTCCAGTTCAAACAGTATATGTATGTAGTTAGCAGGAAAAAATGCTTGATCAGCACATCCCGAAACAAATAAAAATACTGAGAGAAAGTCAAGAATTTAAAAAAGACTCGAACCAATTCCTTAACCGACAGGGATATAATATGTGAAAAGAGCAGCCAGCAAGCGCACAGCCAGAAAAGACCTTGCCCTCTAAACAGCAGAATCTTGACCCAGCAGTGAGTTCAGGCTAGCCATTTCAGCCCTTTTTTGAGACCACCAAGACTGCAATATTCCAATACATCCATTCTTCCCACGATGAATATACAGTGAAGTCCACTTATAAGGAGTCCTCAAATAACGAGAAGTCTGATTATAAAGACACTACTCTAAAACCCCGTTTTTTTTCTCTTCTTTATCTTTGTAAATAAAATACTGCAAGTGCAATCAGACAAACACGCGAGTCGGTTATAGCGGAATATTGCTGCTGCTGGGCACATCGCCTTAGGCTAATAAAGTAAAACCTCGCAAGTTAAGAAACTTGGTGAACTAGTGAAACAAAGAATGGGAGAGCCCTCGTGTGTCAACAATTAAGACCAGAGCGAATGAATAGGGAGGTTGCGGCTTGCGCAGACAAGCAGAACGCATCGCGTGATAGGCCAGCATAGGCCTAGTCTAGATTATCTAGGCCTAACATGCCTTTCACTTCTCCGATGAGGGGATGGAGAGGTCACAGTGCTGTGATGGATGGAGTGAATGTGTGACGGGCGCAAGCAGACGGACCACAGGGTGTGGTGGGGTGGGGGACAACACAGCGGGCGAGTTAGCCTAAAGCCAGAGCCCTTTCTTTCTGATCGCCAACGCCGAGCTGTCAACATCGCAAGCGCTAGAGAAAGATACTTGATTCGATTTTTGATCAAATATGACCTTGAACTTGAGGTCATGTTGAAACAAAATCATCATCAGGGGAGATAACCAAAGGAAATAAACAGAACATCAAACTCATAGATTAGGTCTACAAAGCCTTATTTAACTTTAACCTCATCATTCTCTTGTTAATAAATTTCAATAACCCCATCGACATAATTCTAATCTGATCATTTTAGGAGAAGGGCTGCTTCAATCTCAGCTGAGGGGGATGGAACCCAACAGTTTGAGGGAAATACTAGACAAAATAATCATCATCTCCACACCGGAAACTATCAGGCATCTGTCACTTGACAGACGAAGAGCCTTACCAACCTTGACACCACAGCCTGATGTGAATGAATGGAATATTTTTAAGAACTAACAGTCCATAGAAAATTTTTCCCGAAAATGACATCAGGACAACAACCACTGTTGTCACAAACTCTCCGAGTCACATCAACCACCCACACCCTCACACACCCTCACACATGCACACACATGCAAAACACAAGTCAACACACAAAGGACCTACAAAAGAAAAGCAACCTCTCACCAGAATGTTTATTTAATTAGACAGTTCAGAACAGTGAAATCAGTTTGGATCAGTGACATCACCATCCAGAAGAGTGACATCATACTCTAGAGCAGCGATATGAAAACTCGCAGCGGTGACATCATAATCTAGAGCAGAGACATAATTCAAACAGTTCGGAAATGCGACATGATGGTCTAAAGCAGTGATGTCATAACATTGACATGCAGAACAGCTGCAACATCATCGTGAGATGAAACATCACCACTTGTGACAATGTGGCTTACATGATGTTGAAACATTCGGCAAACCGTACATACCGGTACCACAAAGACATAGAACAAACTGAACTACCATTTCTACTTTCCCTTTGTGATCAAATTATCCAAATGAGGGTGGAGGGGGAAAGAGACTGACCAAAGAGGAGAGAGAGTGTGGGCACCTGTAGACAAGATCATAATATTCCAAAGAGTACGGTAGCCCTTTACATAGTAGCCTATGTCATCTCACTAATACTAATGGAGAGGTAAAGGAAAACCCCAGCCGATCTCAATGACATGATAAAGATCCTCTTCAGATGCTGCTAGCTGGAAAAAACCACCCTGAAGATTTCATCCTTGAAGACTCTTATTGTTTCGAACCTTCTTTTCTTTCCCTTTCAGATCACAAGTACACAGTAGTTCTCTCAGAGCTAAGGCAAAGTCTCAACATCATCATAGTTTATTATTTACAATAGAGACAAAGGTTCATCAACAACATTTTCTTCACATTTCAACTTTTTGTCTCGTAATAATCAAGTCAAAGATGTTCATAAAGAAATATACCGTAATACAACTTCAATAACTAACTGAAAAAAATAAACTTGCACACACATACACACAGAGGTAAATTTCAGACCAATTCAGATACACACCTTATTTGTTTAAATTTAGTAGGTAAGACATCAACAGAGACACAAAGGCCCCCCCCCCCCCCCCCCCACTTTCAGGCTGAAAAACTGCTCCGATTTTTTTATCATCACGTTTGAGCCTGAGAGAATAAACTGACACAGCAATATCAACAAGTTCAGCGCACACACGTACGGACACATCACACACACGCACACACGTACGGACACATCATACACACGCACACACGTACGGACACATCATACACAGCATCAGACACGAGGAGGACAGCCACACGGCTAGCTGTCATTGTGCACATAGAGCCTCCTACTCATGCAGCCACCCACACAATAATTAATGTTCATTCACCCACAGTGGAAGGAGAGGGAAGTAATATGTTATATACATGACATACACTACATTCAGTAGTAAGATCATGGCAGCAGCAGCAGAATCCTTGCTCAAAATCAAAACTACACTAAGTCTTGGGGCTTCCTGCCCCCCAAGAAACATTCTCCTCAAAAAAAGACAAAGCAAGTAAGAGAGTTCTGAGAGAAAGAAGAGCACGTCTTTAAGCAAATGATGGCCTAGCACTACGGTAAAAAGAACGGACAGACAGACAGAAAAATAGACAAATAGAGTACGGAAAGATTTACTGAGGTTGTGAAAAAGGGAGAAAAATTACAACTTCCCACAGGCAGTGAGGCCATCAGCATCTTTTTCCAAAAGAGGAAAGTAGGGGGGAAGAAAAATCAATGGCCTGGATGTTGAATGAGAAGAGAACCAAGCGGCATTTCTTTTCCCTACTAGATAGAGGAGTAACAGAGAGGAGCATGTGAGTTGAGAGGGGAAGGGAGGGAGAGCTTCCTTGTGATGATGAATGGGGGTGAGAAGGACGCATTGGTCGCACAGCTCATGATAGACAGAAATGTAGCAAGACATTGGACCCTGTGAGGAACAAAACAAAACAAAAAAAGGAAGAAAAAAAAGACCAACAAACCCCCAAAAAGACTTCCAAGAAAATTATCACTCATGCACCTCCACACATATGCACTCTAGCATAATTCCTTAGGACATGCTTTCATTCAAATTCCTTTGAAATCACATGAAAATATTTTCACAGCTACGAAACAACGCAACAAACTTCATGGTCACAGTGCTCCACTACGATATCCTACCTTGGGAGTGAGGCTGAACCAAGCTCAGACTAAATGCTGACAAATACACATATGATTATATTTGCACACATAATCAGATATTACCAGCAACACAGCTGGGATATCAAATTGTTTTTTTTTTTATTTAGTTGTCGTAATAAATATGTCCAAAACGTTGTCTGGGAACCATCCCAATCCTTTCATCAAAACTTGTCTACTTTGAGAAGAAATTTTGCATAAACCCCACTTGGAAACTGCAGGACTATTTCTAAAAAAAAAAAAAAAAAAAGGAAAGAGCATTGCCTTGCCCTGGTTAAACCCGACTCAAGTGTTACAACAACAAAACATATATTCTTCAAAAAGAAAATGTTTGACAAAATTAGATTCCCCTTCAACTTTTTAATAATCCCCCCCGCCCCCTGTCTTTGACAGAGGAGAATAAACTTACGGTGCAATTTAGCATTTACAACTACAGCCAATTCTCCTCACAAAAGTTACCAGAGGTCGGACTTTCAAGCACGCTCCCTAACTTTAGTGAAATAAAAAAGAAAAAAAAGAAAAAAACAAACGGTTGCAGGCTATCTCTATTACACATCCTCCAACAACAACCAGCCTGTAAGTATTTCTGTAGAGTTGCACGCCAGCAAACCCCGCCACCCAGCAGCTGTCGTGCCAGGAGAGGAGAGGAGGGCAATGCTTACCCTCCGCACATTCTTCCAAGACCAAAACATGAAGACAAACACAAGTTCCTCATTCATCCAGACAGGGCTGTAGCACTCACACAATCTCATACTTGTCCACCACAAAGACCACTTCGGAGGAGAACTTGACTGGCTCGCCAGAGTCCTGGATCTGCACTGAGCTAGCCTGGAGAGGGACAAGGTAGGGACGGATTACAGATAGGATAACAGTAAACGTTCCACACTCCAAACAACACAATATACAGTAGGGAAGCACATGACGTGAAATCATGGATAGCTTGTACAATTTGCCACCATTTTCAATTTTGGAACATTTGGAAATTATTTCCCCTCACTAAATGTGAGAGAAAATACACACAAAAATATAAGCACAAGGTTGTCTTTCAAAGTCATCAGACATTCTTACATTTAGTGTTTTCTAAAATAATAAGCAGCATGAAAAGACAGTGGGCATCAAGTAGATTCACCACAATAAAAGTAGTTCTATAACTAAACTACGGGTGTATTTTGGAACTCTTCATTTTCAATCAGGAAGATGATTCAACTAAAGCTTTGTACAAAAATGTTATTGCTTTATAAGATCATTGTCTTGAAAATTGTTTGTAAAAACGAAATCATGATCTTATCTATGTTCCAGATCAGGGTCAAGCCAATACCCCCTCCATGTTCAGGACCAGAGCCGAGTGAGTTGAGTCAATACAATATATTTAATAGTAAAAGTTCACAGCAGCTGGGGATGGGAAAGGGATGCTTAACTGTTTCATTCATTATCTCTAAACAGGCCGAAGGGCTAGAACTCAAATGGTCGCTGGAACGGAAAAGTAAAGAATTATTTCTAAACAAGACTTACGGCGATATCACAATAGGAGCGCTTGGAGACGAAGCTGACTGTGACGGGGAAGAAGTCCTCCGGATGGCCATTGATTGTGAACTCCATGGTGCCCGACTTGTTGCTCGCGTCGATGAAGGGCAGCCGCCACTGTAGCACTTTCTTGTGGCTGTCAAAGTGATGCTCGCCGTCGCACTCGTTGATCACTGGCGCTCCCACACCCGACCTGTACACACACACAAATACACACAGAGATAGCCCCCCACTAGTGTCAGTTCAATATCTTGAATTATTTTTTCTTGTCAGGGAACTTTTTTTATCTCAGGGAACAAGGAAAAATATCTTTAGTTTTAGTAAGAGTTTTACAGCACTTGCAACATTACAAGGTCATATAAGTGCTGCAGATTAGAGATGTTTACGAGCGAGTAACAAACACAAAAAAAGGAAGAGAGATTATGACGATAGATCTTTGATAGGAAAAAAGGAGCAAACCACACCAGAGCACCCGCGAACCAGCCAAAGAAAAAGAAAAGATTTTTTCTAAATATTTCTTTTTTGCAATGCATCATTATTTCTTTCCCTGAGCTAGCCCAGGATAGGAAAATGTGGAAAGTGTTTGTCGAGGCCTATACCCTCATGCTGGGCGAGAAAGGCAATGATGATGATGATTATTGTTATTCTTTTCACAAAGAGAAGATATGGTATTTTAAATGAAAAGACTTCAACTTTTATTACCTCGGCTTGGCTAAGTGTAGGAAAATTCACTCATTTCATTCAATACATTTTTCGGCCGTCAGTCTTGTCTGCTATGATTGGTGGTCAGCCAGATGCAGGCAACAAAAAAAATTATTTTTTTTAAAAGTCAGAAAAATACTGGTTTCTTCACAAACAGAACAGGTCTCCTTTGAGAAGCGGTTACATCACACACACAATAAATCAACTCAATAAAATTTAACGTGAACACACGCTAAAGCCCGACAAAGATAATCAGAAAAAAAGTGGTAAACCCAAGGAAATACATAATCCCTAATTTTTATTCTCTTCAATTCGGGTAACCTCTCTCTCAATCGAAAACTGGATAACCAAAGAAAATCTCGCCTCCACGTGGATTTCGGCTTAAGCGAAACGCACTGCAGGTGTTTAGTTTAAACTTTTAGTATGAGTTTTACGGCACTTGCAACACAATAAGGTCATATTAGTGCCGAAGAAGAGATGCGTTACAAGAGAGTAACATGCACAAAAAAGGAGGACAGATATAAGGATGAAAGACGTTTGATAGGAAAGGAGGAACATACCACACCAGAGCACCTGCCAGCCACCCACACGGCAGGTGAGTGCAACAGCTATTTAAGAAATAAAAAAACCAGTGGAGTTGACTCACGGGCAGGGTATGTTGATGAGGACGTCCTCCAGCTCCATGTTGTCCTGCTCCAGCTCGTACTCAATGTTCACCTCCCCGTTGTCGTTGGGCCAGCAGTTGACTGAGGACGGAAAGCAGTTGACAGTTGAGTCGTAAGCCTCTTATTTACTCTTAGGAAAAAAACAGAGGTTTGATGGTTTTTAAAAAATTTAGTAAGAGTTTTACAGCACTCGCAAGAGCATAAGGTCACATGAGCGCGTGGTTTGAGTTTGAGTAAGAGTTGTTTTTTTAGGTTTATAACTTAGAAAAAGCGTTGGAACAATATCTTACAGCAGCCATTTACAATCAGCTTTTACACTTCCTAATTCAAATGTTACACCCACTTGCAAAAGACCTAAGAAGATTTAAACAGAGCAATTTGTTTTAACCTGTTTTAATCACGGAGGACAGAGGAAAGTGAACAAACTGTAGGTTTACACCACTGAACCCTGCTGGAGCACGCGTACAGTGAGCACAAAGGTAAGAGCAGAACACACAGAGGTGAACACTCAAGTCCAAAGGTAAAATATTTTTTACAAACAAAAAAAAATAATTAAAAAAATGAAGAAAACAAAAAAGAACAAATAAATATAATTTCTAAAAACCCTGAAGATCAGCAGAAGTACTCTCCAACCAGCCTAGAGACTTTTTATCCCTCGGTTCTGTGTCCCAATTTTGGTGCTAATATTTGTAAGTTGCATAAAAAAGAGCCAACATGATACAAATTGTTATGCTTCAAGAAAAATAAAACAAGAAAAAGGGGATGTGATGATGGTGGTACAATAACGATGGTGATGCTGTAACGTTGGAAAAGATGGGCAAGCTATTCTTCGTGTCAGTTTATTTCTTCGTTAAGCGTTTAATCTGAATACCTCTAGGCTGTCCCGCAGAGCAGGACACAACCCTCATTCCCAGCTCCTAGCATTGAGTGACCAGAAATTTGGAAATAAGTCGTCATTTTCATCCCTAAAATTTAACAAATGCATGCTGAAAAATCACCTGGGAGGGGGGGGCGTGGGTGTTGGTGTGCTTCTAAGCGATGACATTGTATAGCAATGACAATGAAAAATTAAATTTTCATCCAAATTGCTTAAAAATGGACTTAAATGAAAATAGAGTAAATTCTAAGAACTATGGTTTTTAAAAATTAAAAATCCATTGATAAATAAAAAATTTATTGGGATTTTTGTTTGCAAAATGTTGGAGGACCTTCATATAGGAAAAAATCGCCAAAATGTGGGACATGTTTTGATGTATTTTGAGGAAAAACTGTTCATAAGTCAGTAATGAATTGGAGCATATGAATGAAACTTGGCATCTCCATGTGATTTTTAGTGCCGAATCTAGTTCTGCTATCACTTTTTTGATGTCTTCATTACTTTGGATCTTAAAGACTGATATTTGCGTGAAATTTGTTGAATTGCGTGACATCGTTTTTACCGCGACGCGATCACCCCTTCTAAAACTCAGTAAAGCGCTATCGGGAAAACCCGCGATGTAGTCATCGGTGACCCATTTGGTTATAGGCAGCCAATCACATGTCGCCTAGCGATCACGCGCCTTTTGCGTGCCGGCACCTCGCGTTTGGAATGCGCTATCAAGTTTCTAGATCTAGGGTTTTATCAATGGATGGGTGGTAATTTTAAGTTGGTACGGAAAATCTACTGAACGCAGAGATCTGAAATTTTACAGCAATAAAGAAGACATGTGGGGCGCTTGAGTGGTCGGCGATCAACCTGCAGCTCCGCTTAGTTTTCGAACCGCAGAGGAAATTCGCACAAACACGGCGATATCTCCGGTTCTAGTAATCGTTCGGGATTGTACGCTGGCATGTCGTTAGTTTAACCTTTCCTCTGGTTGGTTGCCGAGTTTAATTTATTTTCGTCCAGGAGTTTTCCCGTAACTAAACTTAGAAGAGAGTCACTTCTGATTCCGAGCGGCCCAAAAAATACCCCTCGCGCGGAGGCCGATTTCCGGCACAAGGCCCAGCGGGCGATTGGCATTGCTACATTGTATGTGTTTGCTGCCCTTCTTCTATGCTATCAGAATTTTTTTAAGTTACAGGAGAGTGACCTATAACTTTCGTAGAATTTTTAACAGCCAATGCAATTGTGTTAGGTAAAAAAGAAAAGATGAACATGTACATGCTTACAAGCCCAGAGACTTACTGGACAGAGGCATGAGCGCCTCATCCTGTGTCTGAAATCGCCACTTGAGCACCCCGATGTCCTGGCCCACGGGGAACGGCCGCTCGGGGTTCTTGAGACTCACGATCGAGGACTGGGCAAACGCTTTCTTGTCTACATTTGGATGCGTCTGGAAAAAAAAAATGTTTAAAATTGTGCATTAGATAGTCTTTATAATTATAATAATAAGAAATAGTATTTGCCAAATGCAAATTCCTGCTTCCTGCTCAACAGCAAGCTCTATGCACTGTGCAATCTATACTATATATAAATTAAACTAATAAATAGAATGGTTTCTAAAATTTTTACATTAGGAAAACAAATACTGAAAAGGTGCAAGGGGAAGGTCAACATTTCTTTTTCTTTTTTTGATCCCTGCGGTAGCTGCCGGCAAGTGATCACACTTAAAGTGTATTAACTAATTCTCAGTTTTCCTCAGAATCCTCAAGGACGAACAAACCGAACAAAAAAGTTTTCTTGAGAATCCTCCCCCCCAAAAAAAACCCAACCATGTTTTCCACAGAATCCTCAAAGACCAAAAGAAAAGTTTTCCTCAGAATCCCCAAATAAAAAAATAAAAAATTGTTATGCTTTTTTCTTTAAGTCCACCCAAAAAGAGCGTCCTTCAAGCGCTATCAAATAACCAGAATGCCCGTCATCAATGGATGAGCCTACCTGAAGCTGTATTCCTTTGTCGTCATTATTGTTGACGGCAATCTGGATCAGACCAGCCTTCTCTTCATTGATGCGTAATCTGAGAATGCCATGCACCTCCAAGTTCTGTAGGCCCCCGTCACGGCCGGCTGTCAGAGATATCTTCTCCTCAACCACCAAGTGCACCCTGCTCCCAGACAATAACGTTTTTGAGTTATACAAAGAGTTTTGCTTAGGTTTTAGTAAGTGTTTTACGGCACTTGAAACACAATAAGGTCATATAGGGGCCGAAGATTAGAGGGTGTTACAAGAGAGTAACAAACACACAAAAACCAGGAGGGGAGAAAAGGACGATACATAGAGGTCCGATACGAAAGAAGGAGCAGACCACATCAATCACCCACTAGAGTTTTGCGGCACTTGCGACACGTGATTAACACGTCAAACAAGTGCCGAAAACAACTGACGTTACTACAGAGTAACGTACAGAAAAAAGAAGGAAGGGAGATAAGGATGACACAAGTTTGATAGGAAAGAGGATTAAACCACATGAGAGTACCAGCCAACTCAATGCGAAAGAAAAAAGAACATTTATAAAGAAATGGCTACTAACATCAATTAAATACCTGCATTAAAATGAGGAGGCTCAACAAAATGAACCATTTATAGTTCAGTTACATAAACATGAAAAAGTGAATGCGCAAAATTCTGGGAATTAAAAAAAAAATCCAGCAATCTCATGTCAGGTACTTTAAAACCCCCACCCCTGAGCTTGTTTGTAGTAAGTGTTTTCCAGTAGTTGCAACACAATTGTTGTATAAGTGCTGAAGATTAGAGGTGCTACAAGAGAGTAACAAACACAAAAAAGAAGGAGGGGAGATTTAGTAAGAGTTTTACGGCACTTGCAACACAATACGGTCATATAAGAGCCGAAGATTAGAGGTGTTACAGGAGAGTAACAAAAAAAAAGGAGGGGAGATAAAGATGATAGACATTTGATAGGAAAGAAGAAGCAAACCACACCAGAGCACCTGCCTACCACCCACGGAGGGGAGATAAAGACGATAGATGTTTGATACGAAAGAAGAAGCAAACGACACTAGAGCACCCACCAACCATCCACCCACTGACCTTACATAACTTGCATTACAGCAAAAGTCAAAATCTCAAGACATTTTTCACTTAATAATGACCAACTCTGATGACTTTTAAATTTGAGAAAAAATCATAAAAAATTAATGTCTACCAATACCATGCTGTATTTTTGTGTGCTTTGGATTGAACAGTGAATTCAAGTCCCCCTAAGAAACGACAAACCTGGCATGCAGTACTCTCATTCAACATCCAACACTCCCAACAGTCCCACGATTTCTAAAACCCTATACAGTAGTCTCCGCCTAAGATCCCACCATTTACGATCCCGGTTCGCCTAAGATCCCGCATTTCCTTGCTCCCGAGCACCGGGATCTTACGCGGAGACTACTGTATTGGGGGCTCTCGTGGCCTCCCATTCAATAGGTCTCGGGTTCGAATCAGGATAGCGACGGACAATTTTCTTCTCTAAAATTTTCTCTTTTCACATCCTTTCTTGCTCTCTAACAATGAACTGTTGTCTGCTTTCGTCTCCATTTTCTGACCCCACCCCCTCACCTCCTTTGCCTCCACCTCTGGGCTCCCGACTCTTTCTGCAGCCTTTCTACTACTACTCCTAGGCTCCTTCTTACTGCTGTCTTTCAGTCACACCCCTCATTTCTTGGTGGGAAAGATTTGCACCTAGCCTTCTCGGACAGGGCGAAAAATCTTGGAGGTCCTGTGTTCAAGTTGCCCACCCAAAATCGATGAGAGTAGGCTTCGGCCGCCATCCGGGCAAAATTGAAAATTTCCTACCAATTGAAAATGTTTAAGGTGTCTCGCTGGCTCATATGATCTTATGCAGTTACGAGCGCCACAAAACACTTTCTAAGACAGCAGATGCTACGAACAAGATGCACAGATCTATATTCGTGTATGATGTTCTTTGCCAGCAAATTTGAGAGTCCAACCTTTTCTTTAAGGCAAACAAAAGACAAGCTGATAAGTAAAAATCATGGTCAAGAAAGTACTTACGCTTCTTGGTTTGTGGCAGGAGTGCTTGTTTTTGCTGCTGGTGTAGACAAAGATTTGGAGGAATCTGCAACTTCTGAGAACACAAAAGAGTAAAAAGTTACTATGGGATTAAGTTGTATATCACCAGCTAGTTCTTGTTTTAGCACAAGTTTTTTTAAAGTTTAAGTAGAGGGTTTTACGGTGCTCGCAACTGCATAAGGTCATATGAGCGCCAGAAGATTAGAGGTGTTACAAGAGAGTAACAAACATAAAAAAGAAGAAGGGGAGATAAGGACGATAGATGTTTGATAGGAAAGAGGAAGCACAAGTTTTATGGCACTTGCAACACAACTGGGTCATATAAGCCCAAAGTAACAGACGTAAAAAAAAAGGAGGGGATATAAGGACGACGGATGCTTGATAAGAAAGGAGCTAACCATATCAGAGCACCCACCCACCTGCCACAGACTTAACCACTTGTTCTTCTGATTCTATAAGAAGAGATGCTTACACACCACCAAGCACATAAACAGAATTAACCCCAAGTGGGAACCCCATTGCAGACACTGTGACTACCCCGAAGAGACCGTAGAACATCTCCTTCACTGCCCAAACCTGGCAGTTCTTCGACGCAGGCTCCTACACACACCTAGACTTACAAAGTAAAGCCTGCTCTACTCTGGCGTTGACCAGATGACAAGGACATGTGGTTACTTGAGGGAGGCATCGCGCTGCCAAGAGCGAAATGCTCGCAGCTAAAGGGATTTGAAAGCAACAACAACATAAGAAGAGATTCTGAGAGACCCCAAACTAATTTTCACCCACATGCATTCCAGATCAATATACAAGTCATCTCGCTATTTATGAAAAAAAAAGAATATGAAGTTCTTTTTTTAAAGCTTCTGTGAGTTCACATTTTTTTTTTTTACCAACATGAATAAACAAAATTGTCAGAGCCACCAAGACCTGATATGAGTTCAAGAACTTGGTGCACCATCTTTTTCTAAACCTAATCATGAACTTCCAACATTACACCATCAGATTGCCAGACCTGCCACTCTATGAAACCTCAAAATCAGGATCTCAGGGAGAAAAAAATCGGGATTTGGTGAAAAACATCGGGATCAACAGCAAATCACCAAGGTGACTGTCAAAGCTCACTTGTCCATAAATTACTTGGCCTATATGCCCTCTGTGTGTCTTTGTTTGTTTGTGTGTGTGTGTGTGCGTGCGTGCGTATGTGCGAGTTATCATTATTTTTTGTAAATCCTGAAGCATCGCGTCAAGCACTCCTGGTCCAAGTGTCTATACCCCCCCCCCCCACCCACCCCCCAAACCCTACCAATAAGTCCCGAAATACATGAACCTAAGTTGACCCCGTCAACAGACGGTCCCCGACACGCAGAACTCACACGGCGATGTCATGTAACGTGACGCGAATGCGCGATTGAAACAATTTTACTAACGAGTCCGACTAACTGTACGTTCACACAAAATACTCGGATGAGCGACAGTCGTTCTACTTCTAGGATAACGACGGCTGCCGACCGACCAAATGTACCAACAAATCTCTTATCCCTCATGTGTTCAGATAAAAGCAGCGACAACGGCCGTATGCTAGTCTTGTCAGCGCAGTTACATGTAGTTGTGTAAGGGTTAGAAAGACTGTCGCTCGTCCGAGTGTTTGATGTGAACGCAGTTACCAGACCTCGGACAAGGCTTGTTTTGAAAGTAACAGCGTAACTACGAACATTATCGATTATTAAATGTCCCAAATTGTAACAGTTACCAGGCTATCATCGGAGAATCTGAGTGCGGGAAAAGACCACACACAACTTGCGGCGAATCAACTACTAAATGCGGCATCGATATTTCGGGAAATAGTGCTGCGAGTTCCTACTGACAAAAAGTTCAATGGGTACTTCCCGCGATAAAGGAGAAGGCAGAGTCAGTTTTTAGAAAAATCCAGCACAACAGCAGACTGGGACAAAAAAAACGGACACACTCGATCGAAATAGGGAAAATCGGGATGCTTGAGATTTGGGGCAAAAAGTCGGGATATCCCGACTAAACGGGATGAGTGGCAGGTCTGGATTGCACACCAAAACCCCCAAAATTACAGCAAGTGGGGCTTCTTTTGATGTAGTGTACAGGATAATGTTACAATGTCCTCAGGAAAATAAAGTAAAAGCAGAGGAGCAATGCCTTTATAAACACAGTAAAGTCGGTAAAGTGATGGCAAATGGCGATAAGATGTATCACTAGAGAGTGACAAACGCAAAAAAAAAAAAAAAGGAGACACAAAAGGAGGAGAGAATAAGGATGACAGATGTTTGATGGGAAAATAGGAGCAAACGACTCCTGTGCACCCCCGAACCACCCACTCCCAATCTTTGACAGGATCAGGTCGTATGGGCAGAAGTGTGAACAGACACAACAGAAGAACAGTCTAGGGCAGATCATACTTTCAGACAACACAAACCAACCAGTCATCTACATTCAATCTTCAACACATATTCCAGATGTTGAAAACATACTTTCTCCTTCCGACTGCAGCTGTCCAACAAATGTGTCCACATCTTTCTTTTTGGAACCCAGCTTGAGAGCTCTGCTTGGTCCTGATGGCACTGGCTTGCTGCAAAATAGATAGCCACCAAGAATGTCACCTTAGTACACACAAATTAAAATTTGTTTGCATACTATACTTATATTCAGTCTACACTAATTTTTTATTTTAAAATCTGCAATTGTACTGCACTTAAACAGAATATAAAACTCAGCCTCAGCTATTCTTTCAAGAATCCATATCAGTGTTTGAATTCTTTATTCACTTTCTGCAGTAGGAAAAAGAAAACCTGTTATTTCTTATCAAGATCAGTGTAAATGAGAGAGACTTGATTTGTGAGTCTAAAGAAGCTGTGGACTAGTCAACAAGGACAATATGTGATGCATCATGGCGAAATCAAGTGCTAGTCAAAATAATGAAATTGAAGAAACCGGCATTTTTTCCATCGGTTTGGCAATATTTATAGAAATTTTGTCAGGATAGATAACCACAACAAGATTGATAACAACTGGATCGATAACAATAGAATTTTTGTTTCTCTAAAGCTGTGGACTCACCAAACTTTGGCAGCCATTTTCTCGCCAATTTTACCTCTGAAACCAGTTGGCCCCACCTCCTTCATTCGTGAATATCTCGACTTCTTTTCAAAACAGATGGGTATTTTTTTCATTGGAAGCAAAACAATTAACAAGCTTTATGACCTCCATAACTCTACATGCCCAATCATTGACAAGCGTGTGGTTCTATCATGCCACGACACGTATATACTAGTGTTTTACCTGGGCTTGTTGTAGGAGGGTTTCGGGGTGTCCACACTGGAGCCAGAATCGATGACTGGACTCCTCTCTGACCGGTACGAGCTGCCGCCGAAGCCACCACCACTGTTGAAACCCGGGTTACGCCCAGACTTGACCATCTCTCTATTTCTTTGCGTAATCTCCTTGGCCTTTTTCTTCATTTGATCCTTAGCCTCCTTTTCTTGAGTCTAGCAGAAAGAAAAAGCAAGAATAAATTTGTAAAAAGCAATTAAATAGAGGGTGGAAAAAAGCTTTATTTTTATTTCGTCTTTGCAACGAATGAGCAAGGAACAGTCTGTGAGACAAAAGGTTTTTGAAACTGCCAAGAGAGCAAGAGGTGCAAAAATAGAAAAAAGGAGAGAACATGTCATTCATTTTCAGTTTGACACGATTTATACCAATTTCACAATCAATGTACTCAAGAAAATCAAGCTTGTAAAACTGAATAGCTTCATAAGCTGCAGAGGGAAAGAAAATACTATGACTCAAAGAGAGAAACGAAAGCCCAATATCTGATAGGTTACCGTGCCCTGTGTTCATGGCACTTCTTGCACTGCACATAAAAGCCAAGCTTGACAGACACCTTCTATGACCTATATCAAACGAGCTAATTCTTCTGGTAACACGAGCATTTCTTTACAATTTTTATTCAGAGAAGACATTTAGTAACTATTTCCCCGCACTCTAAAAGATATACTTAATATAAATTAAATATATTTCTCTGATTTTAAAGGATGGCTCAATTCTTTAAAAACTTCTGAAAGCTTTTCGAGCATAACAAAGATACTCTAATTAGGTAACCAACTTTTCTACATGGAAAATGCACTCACAATATTGATTATTATTTTGACTACTTGAACTGATACCATCCAAAACTACACCAGTCCAACCGATCACTCATGAGACATTACCGCGAAGACGTGCCAACCATAAAGTACACACTTTCTTCTGAGTATTTTGTAAGAGGCAGTAGAAGAATGGCCACCAACAACATATAAAATCTGTTCTATTTCTTGTGCACTTGGTACAAATTTTACGCAAAATATCTTTGTAACTCAGCATAATTCAGCATGCTTCTAGAACCGTCATGTGCCTCAACTTCTCTTACAACTCATGGGATTATTCACTATGAAGAATTCTTTTCTAACAAACCTGTCTTACTTTCTGTATCTGATCCACATTCTTACGACATTCATCAAACACAAGTTACACATTTTGTCTGATTGCTAGACATATTATGTAAGAACTAAAATCATCAAATTTTACTGACGACAACAACTTTTTATATTATGGAAGCAAAATAAGCAGCCAGTCCTGATTGACTGACAAGCCACAGGAAGGTTGGCCACTGAGACACTCGTTTTAGTAAGACTTTGACTACTCTTGCAACAATAATCCCGTAATATAATAAGAAAAAAAGGTTAGAGATCTTACTAGAATGTTACATACAAACAAAAGATGGAGGCCAGACAAGAACAAAATTAGATGTCAAATAGGAAAGAAGGAGTAAGCCACATCAGAGCATCCGCCAACCACTTGCATGAAGACATGAAAGTTTTTAAAAACGCTGATCACCAAACTGTGTTAGCGTACCAGTCTGAGAGCCTGGAACACCTTCTCCTCGTGAGAATCCATCTCTGTGAAAGTTCTTATCTGTGCAAGGTTCACGTTTTCCCTGTAGCCCAAAGCAACAATTTCATCAAATGCAAAGATGAGGGAGAACGCCTGATCAACAATGTCTGACTCCTCCATGTTTCTGCAGTACTCTGGCAACTGGAATAGATTAAAAAAACAAAAACCACACTATAAACATGAAACAAGAAAGTAGCTTCAAAAGATTACAACCAACTGCTACAACTTTATAGATTTTCAAGCGAATTTACATGTTTTACTCCAACACAATAAAAAATTATAAAAACAAGGTACCAAAAGAACCTCTTGGACTTACATTTAAATGTCACGGACCCGCCAAATACCAAATTTCAGTCATACAGGGGCTCTCTATGATTCTATGGGTCAATTTTTTCATTTTCAAATCTATCTTCATCCTGTACGTCTAGTTATAATACAACACTGTGAATACAACAGGCCTGTTTATTTAACACTATGGGAACTGAAACAAAACACTGCCCAGCCTACTGTCCCCCCATATCCCCCTTCTCACCAACAGCGCTGAAGAGTGACAAAGTAAACAAACAAATCTCACGGAAACAGAGCCCTGTCCACTTTCATGTACTTCTGCTTATATATGGAAAAAACACCATATAGATCTAGTGGCAGAAAAAAACAAAACGAGTAGTAAGAAGATATAATGATAATCTCATGAAAGGGTCTAAATCTACAGGTTTTATATGGAGCTTCGATTCACTAGTTCTTCAGGCTCAAAGGGCAAGTGTTTAAACGTCAAACCTGCCAGAAACCTGTCAAATCGGAACCTTTCCACTTCCACTCCCCCCTTGATAAACTCTCTTACAATAACTATAATCTACAAAGACAAAAACTTCAAAGAGGAAACCGCAAGAGAAATTCCTTCCCTTCAGAGGGTTTTGACCTGTCTATGACAGAAAATGTGATGTCCACTCAGCCCTCATTTGAAAGAGAAAAAAACTCAGTTTGGTTCTACCAGCTCTATCCGTAATGCCTCACTGCCAGGCCGGGTGGTGGGGGATAGGGTGCAGTTTGCGGGCAACTGTTACCCATCCATGTGAGCCTTAAACGATGCAGTTGGTCAGGGTGGTGTGGGTGTCAAATCTCACCATTGTGTAGCAATCACAATGAAAAATTAAATTTTTATCCAAATTGCTTAAAAACAGTCTTAAATGGAAATAGAGTAAATTCTAAGAACTATGGTTTTTAAATTTTTTAAATCCATTGATAATGGAGCATTTGCCAAAAGGTGGGATACCAGTGTGTGACAAATGAGGTCCAAAATCAACTTTATGTAATAATTCTTTAATCACCCATATTGTATAGCCTAATGATTGCTCTTTCAGGCTCAGTAACTGCCAAAGCTGTATATGCAATGGTCTTGGTGTAATTCTGACTTGAATGACGGAAATAGCAAAAAGTTCGTTCATAACAATGATGACACAAATTTATGAATACTCAAAGTTCATTTCTTCAGCTAGGCTGATGTTATATTTTGAGACATAGCAAATAACTTCCAAAAATACATAAAATTGACAATTTATAAAAATCTTTATTAATTTTTGATAAAATTACTTTTTTGTGTCATAATAGTTATGAACGAACAATAAGTGACCAAAATACTATCGATTATATCAAGTTTCATTGACTAGAATTGTCTAAAATAACACTCTGGTCTAATTATAGTCAAGTGATAAATGGAAGACCATTGAACAGCTATTTTTAAACGCAAACTGGTCTTAGGGCATATTATGCATAAATTTAAAGTTCGTTCATAACCATTATGACACACTGTTTCGTTCATAACTATTATGACAAATTTTACTTTTGGCCCCTGAAATTTACTTATATTGTTCTGTCTTTCACATAAAACGGTTTTCATTTATGAGGCTTTCCTTAAAATATTATAGATTCCTCTATGTAGGGAGAATTCAAAGTTTATTTCCTGAAAAACCCTTAGAATACCTTTAAAATGGTTCGTTCATAACAATTATGACAAACTTCAATTTTGACCTAAAAATGTACTCCTTTTGAGCTGTCATTCATTTTTTAAAACTTTTATTAAATGAAACTCTCCTCATAATATGTATCTCTGTACATGTTTTTAAAGTTTGTTAACACTGAAAAGCCCTCAAAATATATAAAGTGGACTATAAATAGTTCGTTCATAACCATTACTACAAAAGTATAATACTAATTAAAATCCACACCCATACACTTATGATAAAAATAAAAATATCAGAATGTATGTAAGGTCTATTCTGTCCTTTAGTTGGGTTAAAATTAAAAATACATCCCAAAACAACTGTAAATTACATGGAATAATGTTTCGTTCATAACCGTTATGACACACTGTTTCGTTCATAACTATTATGACAAATTTTACTTTGGGCCCAAAAAATTAACTTATTGTTCTGTCATTCACATAAAATTGTTTTAATTTATGAGACTCTCCTCAAAATAAGGTTATATGTGGGAAGAATTCAAAGTTTAATCACTGAAAAACCCTTAGAATACCTTTAATTGTTCGTTCATAACTATTATGACAAACTTCAGTTTTGACCTAAAAATTAATATTTTGACCTGTCATTTACTTAAAAATGTTATATTAAATGAAAGTTTCCTCATAATATGTATCTGTGTACATGTTTTTAATGTTTATCAACTCTGGAAAGCCCTCAGAGTACAATATGTAGTTCGTTCATAACCATTACTACAAAAGTAAAACACTAATTAAAATCCAGACCCATACACTTATGATAAAAATCAAAATATCAGAATGTAAGCAAGGTCTAATACATCCTCAAGTTGGGTTAAAATTAAAAATACATCCCAAAACAACTGTAAATTACATGGAATAATGTTTCGTTCATAACCGTTATGACACACTGTTTCGTTCATAACTATTATGACAAATTTTACTTTGGGCCCAAAAAATTAACTTATTGTTCTGTCATTCACATAAAATTGTTTTAATTTATGAGACTCTCCTCAAAATAAGGTTATATGTGGGAAGAATTCAAAGTTTAATCACTGAAAAACCCTTAGAATACCTTTAATTGTTCGTTCATAACTATTATGACAAACTTCAGTTTTGACCTAAAAATTAATATTTTGACCTGTCATTTACTTAAAAATGTTATATTAAATGAAAGTTTCCTCATAATATGTATCTGTGTACATGTTTTTAATGTTTATCAACTCTGGAAAGCCCTCAGAGTACAATATGTAGTTCGTTCATAACCATTACTACAAAAGTAAAACACTAATTAAAATCCAGACCCATACACTTATGATAAAAATCAAAATATCAGAATGTAAGCAAGGTCTAATACATCCTCAAGTTGGGTTAAAATTAAAAATACATCCCAAAACAACTGTAAATTACATGGAATAAGGTTTCGTTCATAACCATTATGACACACTGTCACGTTCATAACATGATGACAATCCATTATGACAAGCATATTTTTGCCTCTTCTTCGCTTCTCTTTTGAGTCATCAGCACAATACTCTTCCATGTTCATTCCACCATGTAAAAGGATGTTGTGAAACAGTGGGAAGTCCCTCACATGATATTTTGCAGAAATATCATAAAGTGTTTGTTCATAACATCATTATGACAAACCTGGATTATCTCAATCAAAGTCATATTTAAGCAAAACCATGCGATGGAGCGGAAAATTACCCTTCTGATGGATCAATGTCAAACCAATGTTTAATACCGGTCATTCCCCGGAATGATATGTTTAACGATTTGGGTTTTCTAGACCTTGGAAAGTCAGATGATGTAATTATGACACGAGTTATGAACGAACTTATAAATTTTACTCAGCAATAACATCATTAATATAAAAAAATAAAACCCTTTTAATGGACACACGCTGTCATGATGGTGTATACAAATATTTTCAATGTTTGAATGCACTTCTGTTTGATAGTTTAAGATTAACAATATTCAGTATTTAACATACAATTACGTGTGCACTCAGGATGAGTAAAAAATGCCCTATTTTTAGTAGTACTATTATCTTTCTATGTAGAGATATAAGATGCACACATCAATCTACTTGCTCATGCAGCTTGACCAACTTATTTCCTTGCCATATACATAAAGTTTTCAGAAGAAAACATATTTTACCATGAGTAGTGGTTGATTTAAAAAGTCCTTAAGCAAACACCCCCACCTTTTGGCAAAAGCTCAATGATAAATTTAAAAAAGTCATTGGGATTTTTCAGGGCAAAATTTTGGGGGACTTTCATTTAGGAAAATATTGCCAAAAAGAGGGACGATACCATGTCTTGATGTACTTGATGAGGAAAGACTGTTCAGAGAGTCACCTCTGAACCGAGCGGCCCAAAAATTACCCCTCGCGCGGAACCCGATTTCCGGCGCCAAGGCACAGCGGGCGATTGGCATTGCTACATTGTGAAAATGCTTTTTGAGTGGCACTCCAGCACAGAAACTTTCCTGGGTAGCCCAGAGGTGTGAAATTAATTTGACTACTGCCAGCAACCCAGTCCTTACGACCAGCCAAGATTAAGTTTCTCAAATCATTGTTACATGCAGGTGGCATTGGTTGATATGATTATTACATCAATGGATGGGGCTACGGGAAGAAACAAAAGGGGCCCATTCGTTTGTTTTTAGCAAGTCAAATAGAGGTCTAATGGGATGCAAGACCTGATGGCAATAGGCAAATAAGACGGACACATGAGCAGCTAGGATAGCAATAAGGACAGAAGGTGTGAAGTTTTCACCACTGCTTGCTGACCAGACAGGCCACCCTTGATCCACATGGGCTGGCAATCTGGGTTTCCCCCCTCCCCTCCTTTTTCACTTTTAAAATAAAACTCCACTGTCCAAGACAGTCAATTTTTTCTTATGCCACCCCACCCCCCCTCCTTGCGATTCCATCTTAGACAGGTTCAATTATACAATGTTTAAATTTCCCTGCAGTACTTACAACTTTGGCAAAAAGCCTCAAAGTCTCCAAGTCTTCCAAGATGTTGGAAGCCTTTGTTGTGATCAGTAACACATACAACTTCTCTAAGGGCTGGTACACATAGCGGACACTTTCCGTCTCCACAAATGTGTGCTGTTTCCCTGTCCCCATCAGCTTAGGAAATGCAGCAAGGAGACCCTCGATGCGAGACCTTGTCATTTCTACAAACTGTCGGGAAATAATCGCTGTGGAAAAGATTAATTTGTTTTTTAAGAATGAAAATGTTTATGGCAATGGACGTGATCATTACAAGTGTCTCCTAATTTTACTGTGCTCAAAGTTCTAAGATTCCTGGTTGCAAACAATAGTTTTAATTAAAGATACATTCAAGTACCATCTAATTTAGACCTAGGTCACTCAAACATCAGGAAAAGATTTGAAGTTTGTGTAGTACCTTGATTAAAGTCAAAGACAACCTGAAGATACGCCAGGAAAGAATCACAAAACAATTAATCAGAAAAAATATAAATCACAAAACAATTAATTAGAAAAAATATAATTTTTATTAAAAAAAGAGACTTACCTTTCCCAGTGCGATTGCACACTGCTGCTGCCAGCAGCACCTGCAAGATACAAAATAATTTCTTGAGCACTGCTTCAATACTATAGCAACTTTATATTACAACTAAATATGATGTTTGAACTAGAAAACATATATTATATTTTTTAATATATATATATACACACACAAGGTTAATCATAAATTTATTCCCCGACAGTTCACAGACACACTGACCACTTCCAGCCAAAAAAAGAAACAAACAACCAACAGACCATTTTAAAACCATTTGTTTTAGTTTTAGTAGGTCGAATTTTATTAGGAGCACTGTCTATTGACATGCAGTAGTAGGCCTATGACACAGGCTATGACTATATAAGTTATAAGACTACACTAATAAACTTGTAAGGTCACTGTGGTTCTAGGCCTCTATGCCATTTATTCATTTTATCAGTAGGTGATACTAGCCTTCTGTACCAATGGTGTGATCATGTGAGAAAGACGTCCGTAAAGAGCAACCATCCCAACAAATACAATGGAAAAAGCAAACGGCTATTCTCTGGCATCGCGCCGGTCAATAGATCAATGATTCAATGGCTATTCTCCGGCGTCCTGTATAGTTGCACATTTCACGTCTCCACAGCTTTCCATCTCCCCTGTCGGCAAGTTATGGCCATTATTGTTGCGACTGAATTCAGTGCCAGATGAGCCTTCCTGTACTTCTGGTTGTGACTGAGGGTTGTTGGCTAGAGCTTGATCCTGCTCGCCAAATCTGAGAGTGATGACTCCCTTTTCAGTCGGATTCAAAGAATCGCGAGTACGTGAGCGCTCGTGGAACACTAAACCTCAGGTTCGATGTATGCGTGAAATGGAACAGTATCATATCACATCAACGCCACTTGGCGAGTCCCACTTTTGTTGCCCAGCATGGTGAATCGTATTCTAAAGAAATGCCTACAATGATGAGTGTTTACAGTGCAAGGCCATAACGTGCCGACATGGGAGATCGAAAACTGTGGAGATCTAAGCAAAATGTGCAGCAATACGTGGCGCCGGAGAATAGCCACTTGCATAGAAAAACCTAACATCAACCCAACCCTATCAATCTACTGAATTGCCTTTATCTCTATTTCATAGTGGTAACTCCTTGTGGAATTCGGAATTCTTCCCATCGTGTGTAGTGTACACGTAGGCCTTTAATTGCTCTGAGTACGTTGGCTAAAGAATTAAAATCTGGTTAAAACAAAATGTGTTTACTTGAACTTGATCATTTTATAACAAAAATAAACCATTTTTATTTGGGAGCGCATGGCCAGCCCCATTCAGAGTCAAAGTGACGTGAACAGCATGAAACATCGATCCTTCCCCTCTACTCTAATAAAAACTTCTACATTGTGAATTCTTTCTAGAGATCTAAAATCTAGATCTAGATTTTCTAATCTAGATTAGATCTAGATCTACATATCTAGAGCTAGAATCTAGATCCAGAATCTATTTCTCAAGTCTTAACCCTCATCCTGCGGGAGCCGGGTTTATGTAGCCTGAAGCCTATTTCGGCACCTCGCCTACGTTCTGGTCCCGAATCAAGTGTAGCTCCTGGCTCAGCGCACGCGCAGCGCGCATCCTCTTACGTGTCATTCGGGTCCCGAGTCGGATCCCCATTCACGCAGGTCAAGTGTGTGTGCGTCTGTCTGCTTGAGTTTGTGTGCGTTTGTGGCCTCCTTCTAGAACCGCCTGCGTTGGTTCGTAATCGAGGCATACACGTCTCGTTCAAAACATGCCAAGTTGGTAGCTCTAGATGTTCGTCCAATGAAATTATAGAAAAAATTGACCCACTTAGACAAGAGGAGCTCGAAAGGAAAGTCAGGAAACTAGACTTCCATTTTTCTATCGAAGTGATTATTCGGACTCGAGTCCGTCCGAATATGAAAAAATGTTATAATTCGGACTCTGATTCTTGTCCAGCATGACATCACTTCCGACTTCCTGTGACTCGTGAATCCGGCTTCCTGTCCTGCCTCACTCATGACTCGCCTCAGGCTGGGTAGAGACCGGGATCACTTCGGGCAAAAAGGCGTTTTGTGCAGGAGCCGAGTTTTAATCTTATATGAATTTGAGGCCGGCCTGAAAAGTTAGAGCGCTTCTAATAAATGTTTATTTGTCAAGAGGTCATCAGAAGCAATTAAAGATGGCTCGTTAGCGTGTGTCGGATGGGCGGCCTGCACACGTGTGGCTGTGTGCGTGTCGGGGAGGGTGGTGGGAGGGGGGGCATTATCGGTCCGGGCTTTGAATGCGCCACAGTCTTTTCCCCCCCGGCAACTGATCATTATTACAATAATAAGCTAGTCTTGACGTAGATCTACGTAATGAATTGTGCGTTGGTCTATGGAATCAAAAGTTGCCGTATGCTCAGCTCTACACAGCAACACAATTTTTTCTTGGTAAACAATCGATATAACACAGGCTTGTGTATTTCAAGTATTTGAACGAATCGGTCTTTTTTTTTTTTACACAGCTCATAATATATGCAGGTGCCAGGTGGTCTGCTAATCTTCAATTTTACCTTTTTCTACAACAAAGAAAGTGGGAAACGTGGGGGGGGACGACGTATCAATGAGGCGGCGGGCATTGGATCGGCAGATTGTGGGGGAAACTAAAAAATGGCGGAAAACTGGAAGCACTGAACGTTAGATCTATAGAACGAAGACACTTCCTTTTTTCCGGACCCGAGTCCGAATAACATTTTTTCATATTCGGACTCGGGTCCGAATAAGAATTTTTAAAATTCGGACTCGAGTCCGAATATGAAAATATGTTAATTGGACTCGAGTCCGAATAACGACGGCCTTTTTCTATACAAAATATTTCAAATGAGCTTGATTTTGTATGAAATGATACTACCTGATAAAAAATAAGCTTGTTTGATAGTTTTGAATACCATTGTGCAGGTACAAAGAACAATTTGAGTGTAAAACATTCGGAAATTGACCTAAATTATCCCCTTTCGAACCTCAAGAAGTCATTCATAACAAGAGTAAGAGCGTCCAGAAAGCGCAACTACTCGTAATGTCTTATCAGCTTGTGAGAGGGGGTTATTCATGTGTTTGTAACACTTTATAAATAGAAAGCTATGAAGGATAGATATCTAGAGCGTTATTTTCATCATCGGTTAACACACTCCCGCGGTATTCATGGCGAAAACACACGTTTCCCGGCGCCCGCGCTATACACCAACAGTACACACTGAGTGACCCCGGCGGCCTGCCCGGCACGTCCGACGTAATCGGTTGCTGATAAGATACGCATCTGGGCACAGACGCAGGATAAGAGTTTTAAGCCGAAGCCTCAACAAACTCAATCAAAGGAAATCATACCTCGACCAGCCTCAGGTCGACAAAACAACCTGAAAGTAAAACTGAATAAACACACACAAAGAAAGAAAGACAGGAAGATGTCTTGTCACAAAAGCACTAGTTTTAGCCGACAGGAAAAACAGAATTCTAATAGTACGTGTAGACATCGTGTTCAAAAGCTAGAATCTACTTATTACCCCGGCTCCGACACAAAATAAATGTTGTATTCAAGTATTGTCGTCTCGGTCTGAAAACAGAACAGTACAGTGTCACACTTCACAACTCAGTGATAAACTAACGTATGTTCTTGATACTGCTCGACAGAAAAACATACAAACGTTAGAATTTGTAACAAATATAAGTGACCTCACCATTTTAATGCTCTATATAAATTTCAAAAGTATCCACAACACTGCCAGAACCGGGGAAATATAGCAGTACCACAACGTAAACTCCTCCAGGTGTCAACAAAATGGTGGGTTTGCTCCACGTCGATGTAGGTATTACTACGCGTGTTATAATGTGGAAAACTATCGATACCCCGAGTAAAATTAAGAAAAAAAACATAAATGCAATAGCTCTAAAATAATTTATTCAGAACCTTTAAAGTATTATGCTACCCAAAACTTAAAAACCTTATTAAGCAGCGTTTATTTATTGCAGTTATTAGCCGGAAACAGAATCTTGTACGATCAGAGATGTTCGTTTTCTCTTAATAATTAATTTCGCAGTTTTCGCATATTTATTTTTCTTCCGGAAGTGCTTGTCAAGTTGTTGTTGTTGTTGTTGTTGATGATGATGATGATAATGATTTTTTTTGTTTGTTTGTTTCCCTAATGGGCCTGGTGGACTCCACGAAGAAATCTTCTAGCGAGAGCGAGGCTCTCTTTCGGCTCCATTGTATATACCTAGAGGCGCCTCCACTCTTCTAAATAACTCCATTCGATGATGATGATGATGATGATGATGATAGTGATGATGATGACGATGTTGTTGTTGTCGGTGGAGGTGATGATAGTGATACTGCTGCTGCTGCTGCTGCTGCTGCTGCTGCTGCTGCTGTTGTAGTTTTTGTTGTTGTATTGTTGTTATTGCTGTTCTTCTTCTTCTTTTTCGTCTTCTTCAAATTGCTTCTTCTTGTTTGTTTTTAATTCCTAATTTCCTCTCTTTCACTTCCCGCCGCCCCCTCCGCCTCATCCTCCTCCTTTTATGGCAGCCTAACCCGCTGTAACAGGGACTGTATCAGCCTAATTCTTATCACAAATTTATAAATGCTTAAATCGTCACGTGCAAGTGTCATACCCTTACACTTACACTAAAATTAATGTATTTCTACATGTATTTCAAATCTCTTTGTCGCCAAGAAAAAAAAGTAGTACATGTAGGCCTAAGAACATTCCTGTGTTGAATTGGGATTGAATTATTAATCTTTCTGCGGTAGCGAGGCTATTTTTCTTTTTTAATCAGCAATGACAACCTGATGAATGACCACCGTAACGACTTACAAATTGAAACTTTTTTCTTTCTTCTTTCTATAGGCTACATGTATAAATGTTTCTGTGTGTGTGTGTGTGTGTGTGTGTGT